CTTCGCTAATTTCTACCGCCGCTTTATTAAGGGCTATTTACGGCATGTAATGCCCCTAACTAAGCTCACTAAAACTAAGGCCAACCCGTCTAGAGAGTTTAAATAGACTAACAAGACACAAGCCGCTTTTAACGGTCTAAAGAAGCGGTTTACTAAAGTCCCCTTACTGTACTATTTTGTACTAAGCAAGCAGATCCGTATTAAGACTAACGCTTTACAGTTCGCTATATCGGCTATTATGTTATAGCAATTAGATAAGGACTATTACTAGCACCTAATTGCCTTCTTTTTACGAAAGATAATCAATATAGAGCGTCGCTACGAGACCTACGAGTAAGAGCTCCTAGCTATTATCGAGGCCTTTAAGCATTAGAGGCACTATCTCGATAGTGTATAGCACACTATTTAGGTCTATATAGACTATAACAACCTCCGTAGTATTACTAAGGTTACTAGGGTTATAGGTCGATAGGCTAGATAGGCCGTCTACCTCGCCGGGTTTGATTTTAATATATTATATCGGCTAGGCGTAAGTAACCCTACTAATAGCCTATCGAGGCGACCTAATTACGATAGCGAGACTTAGTATATTAATTTATTGTTTCTAACCCTATAGTATAAGATTGCTATAGCCCGTATTATTAATAAGCAAGCGTAGGATAAGCGGACTTCCGGACCCCGCGGCGGCAACAAATACTATAGCGGAGTTATCGTTCTTCTAGTATACGTTAAGAAGGACGTAGATCGCTCGAGCTATAATAACTCGATTAAAGATATTGCTATCTATAGCGATAGCACTGTAGAAGAGGTTATAGTAGTTCCGGCTACTAGTGCTATTAGATATATACAATACGTACCTCGTTCGATAGCGAGGGTACTATTAAATAACCTTGCAAGTAGGGATAGTTAATCGTTTATAGATAAGCTATTACGTGCTTAGTAGAGGGACGCCTTTGCTGTCGAGCGCATTAATAAGCTTGTAAGTAGACGGGCGACTCGATCTAGCAAGAGTAACAATAATTAGTCGATCGACGATAAAGGTTACTCAAAGTTTAAGAGCAGATACTATATCCCCGCTAAACAATCGATTAGATAAGAGCTTTTAAAGAGGCACTATAATAGTAAGCTCGCTAGTTACTATAGCATAGAGAGGTCGCACGAGTTACTATCGCGTATATACTACTAGCTAAATAGTAAGCGGTAGATAAAGGAGTATATATAGACCTATATAGTATGCTAGCGAGTTAAAGCACCGAAACACTTACTATTCGGCGAGTTGTCTTCGCTCCCTGTTCTAAAGAAGCCATTTACTAAGCTAATAATAGACTTTATTATAGGCCTTCTACCTACTAGGCGTAGGGGCAGCAAGGACGTATATAATGCTATCCTTATTATAGTAGATCGATTTACTAAAGGCGCTCGATGTATCCCGGCGCGGAAAGACTAGACTGCTATTAATATAGTAGAGGCGCTATAGAGTAATATCTTCTATATCTATTAGGGAACCCCTAAGAGGATAGTCTCCGATAGGGGCTCGACATTTATATCTTACTATTAGAGCGAGATTTGCTTACAGCTGAGACTAAAGCATCGGCTGTTAATAGCCTTCTATCTATAGACTAACGGTTAAATAGAGAGGCAGAATGCTACTCTGCAGCAGTACCTGTATAGCTATATTAATAAGAACCCCGAGGATTAGGTCAACCTCCTATAGCCTACAGAATTCGTATATAACAATAGTGTATATTTATTAACCAAGATCTCGCCCTATATAGCTATAATAGGCTAGAATACTGCTATACTATAAGACCTACTATCGCTCGAGGCCGAGCGTAAGGAAAGGGAAGCGCGTTAAGTACCCGAAACACTAGCGGCTATTAAGAGAGTCTAGAAGATGCGAGAAATCTATACTAAGATAGCCGAGAAGTTAATAAAGGCTTAAGAGTACTAAAAGACCTACTACGATAAGCGCTATACACTAATAACCTTTAAGCAAGGCGATATAGTTATACTTAGCATAAAGAACCTCCGTATCCGTAAACACCTATTACCTAATAGCAAAACAAGGCCTAAGCTCGTACTAAGATACATTAGCCTATTCCGCATTCGAGAGGCTAAGGGTATATAGGCCTATCAGTTATAGCTCCTACCTTATTATACTATCTATAACACCTTCTATATATCTCTCCTTAAGCCGTACTACCTACGCGAAGGGGATAAAGCCCCTATAGAATACGAAGACATACTAGCGGATAGTAAGGAGCTATAGTCTATAGAACGTATCCTATAGCATCGCACTAGGCAAGGTAAGAAGGAGTACCTACTAAGATAGCAAGGCTATTTACCTAAATAGGACTCGTAGGAAGCTAAAGACTCTTTTAAAGACATAACTAAGTTGTTAGATAAGTATTAGACTAGCGTGAAGAACAAGAAGAAGGCTAAGGGCCTATAATATTACTAGAAAGGCCTAGGAATAATGCTACCCCCGGGGTGCTATTAAGCTAACTAATTAGAGGTAAGTAATTATTAGTAAAGGACAACAAGACTATACTACGATAACGGACGCGCAACGAGTACTAACGAGCGCACTATTACTGTTAACTAATCGCCTGCTCTTTTAAGGAATCTACCTCTTTACTAGCGTACCCTATAAGACCCTCCTCTTAGCGCCCCTCTTGTTTCTACGTCCTATCGAGGCCTAAGGCCTAGGCGGTCGATAGAGGCGGCGCGCGCGCGTAGGCGAATAGTGTTAGTAATAATAATAGTAATAATAGCGTTACGCTTATACTAAAGGGCGATACGGCCGGCGTAGCTATATTAGTAATAGTATTACGAAGTGTATTATTAGTCGAAGAAGGAAATTAGAAGAAGGTAAAGTTAGCGCTAAGACGACTAGCGCTACTATTGTTAACATTACTTACTATTGTCGCTGCGCCTATAGATACAACCTTACCTATACTACGAGCCTAAGGCACCTTTAATTAAAACTTTAATTAAAAGCTTTAAGCCTATTAAAGGTTTAATTAAAAACTTTAAGGCTAAGTTAAAACTTTAACTAAGTTAAAAGATTAAGCGACTAATAGACTAACTAAGGGCAAAAACTATAGAGCTAAGCTAGCCGGGGTCGATCTTGCGGACAATAGGTTACTCCTCGATCTATCTAACCCTTTAAGCGAGGCGAACCTCTACTACTACACTTATAATAGCCTTTACTTATAGAAACTAGACGAGCTGTGTTTTTTAAAAAGATAAGATAAGATTGATACTTAAAGGCTACTAAACCTAGCTAATTAGGGCTAGCGAAACTACGAATAATAAGAACAATAACCCTCGGAAGCGGACAAACCCTCGGAAGCGGACATTGCTAGGTCTTTTAAGAGTAGACGCAAAGAACTCGATACGATATTACTTAGAACGGAGGCAGTACTATAATACCTCGTACGTCCACCTGTTATAGTAGGGAAGACGCGCTCGTATTGTAATTAGTCGAAGGCCTTCAATTCTTATAGATATATATCACTTTATAGTTTATTATATATAGAGATAGCGCAGTTAGAGTTGTATATTGTATTGTTTAGAGGTAAGGTTTAATATAGTTATATAATTAGGTAGTTAAGTGTTTAATTTAGCGCAGGCTAAGCAGCTTATTAGACTCGCTAAGTTAGCGGCAATAGAGGTCGTAAAACATAGGCAGGCTACGAGGGCGCGGCCTTTAGAAGGGAAGCGTATATTAGGGCTAAAGAGGCTATACGTAATTAGTATATAACTAGGCTAAGTAAAGCTAGGGTCTTAGTGCCTTAGGCAGGGCTTAGCGCTTAGTAATAGGCCAACTTGCCTACCTTTCTCCCTCTCCTCCTAGCTCCTTATCGAATACTACCTATACCTACTACTACCCTATCTACCTACTAACAGACCCTTCTTATATTAGGCGCTTCCTTATTATCCGATTGCCCTTCCGCTAGTAGGGCAGCTAGCTGTTGCTAAGTCGCTACATTCCGTAGCCTCTACGAAGCCTACTAAGTCCGGCGTAGTTGCTAAGTTGCAGGCTCTTTAACGATAGCAGTTAGCTTCGTAATAACAGCAAGTTTAAACTTAATTCGTAGGCCCTTCTTACCTTAGCTGTTCTAGATACTTAGTATCGTATATACGCGCTTAAAATTGAGGTCCGTTATACTAGAGCTACGGTAGAAGTGTTTAGCTTTTACTTTGTCTATAGAGGCTATAATAATAGCACTCTTAAGAGTAAATAGAAGCCGGTTATTGCTCTTATTACGCTACTCGTTAAACTAGCGATCTACGGCTTCGTAGGGCGACTCGTAGTTTAACTCGCTTAGATAATATTTACTTAGTAAGGCCTCCTTCTACTTGTCCGTATATAGGTTCTACTATATTATATACTCGAAGACCTTAACTTTATCTACTTTAGAAGCTTCGTCTTTATCTACTTCGGCTTTAGGTTGTATCTTAGGTTGTGTCTCTTAGCGCTAAGAAGTCGTTAAATCTAGCAACTCGTCGTTAGTATTCGGCTCTTCCGGACTATTATATACTAGAGTTAGCTCTTTACGTCGTTGTCTCCTAGTAGCAGCGGCTTCTACTATAGCAAGGGCTTCCTTCTTCTTCGTAGTAAGCTTATATAGTCGCTTCGAGGCTCTCGGTATACTAGCGTAGTAATAGATTAAACGAGAGGGTACTAAAATGCCTAGCTCTTAACCCTAAGGCTTACTAAGAGGCCGTAAATAGACAGAGGTAAGAAAGGCTTTCGCTCCGGATCGCAATCTACACCTATTTTGTATAGTGCGGTAGATACTCGGTAAACGATAGTGCTACGCGCTAATTTACCCTCCTCCGCAGCATGGCGCGACATATTGAATAGCATAATAAGCTTCTTTTGACAGCGTCTGACCTCCGTCAATGCCAGCAGAACTGAGTCAAGAGGTTGCAAAATCATCGTTCGGAAGTACAGTAAGACATCAGCTTCATCATTAGTGCAAGCAGCGATCATGGCTCCGACAGGAGTTTACTGTATCTCCTCGTTCCTCTCGGTCTGGGCGTGGCAGCTCATTTGGTCTATTTCAACCGCTATGAGTCTCATCGATACACGCGCGCATTCGTACAGTATCATTCCTCGCAGCGTATCTCCTTGGAGCACCACTGCTACTTTCACGCCTCTCCGCACAATCTGCCATATCGCCAACAATCCAAGCCGTGCAGCTTCTCGTCGCATTCCTCGTAGGCGCGATCGGCAGCACTTGGGTGTATCGCGTATTTCTCAACCCCCTGAATCGAGTCCCCGGTCCGTACTAGTATGCTGCTCGTCTGACCAACTTCTACATTGCGTTCAGGGTTGGCAAGACGCTGCAGCAATACCGCGTGCTTGAACGCTTGCATCGCTAAGTCTCGTTGTCTGGTGCAAGAAGTACTGGCCTTGACCCTTCCGTAGCACGTACGGCCCTATCGTGCGCACTGGCGCAAACAGAGTGTCAATTGTCGATCCAGACTGGGTGGAGGCATCGTACGGTCACACCAGCGTGGCGAGGAAAGGTCCATGGTATGATAACAATTGGCCAAATCCAGCGCTTCAGCAAGAACGTGATCGTGGTGCACATGATCTACACCGCAAATCTTGGGCTCCAGCATTCTCGGACAAAGCTTTACGGCAGTACGAAACTCACATCACCACGTTCAATGGCAAGTTCCTGCTGCGCCTGGCTGAACACCAAGGAGGCCGTATGAACATCTCGAAGTGCTTCAATCTCTATTCCTTCGATGTCATGGGCGCACTAGCTTTCGGGAAGAACTATGGCATGATGGACAGCGGCGAGAAACATGCAGTGCTCAGTATCATTTCTACAGGTCTGGACCCTCTCGGTCTCACACTGCCAACATGGTTCATGCACCTCCTTCAAATGGTCCCGGGAGATCCTGCCGGGATCACAAAATTTTTCAAGTTCTGCCAGAATGAACTCAAAGAGGCCATAATCAACAATTTCTATGCCAACGTAGAGACCAAAGTCTCGGCAGGCAGTGTAATCTCATCATGGCTCGCCGAGAACTACAAAAATCTCCCGAAGCCTTGGGAAAGTCGACCCTTTTGCTTAGACACGCAGCTTCTCATTGTCGCAGGTAAGCTCGGCCTTTCGGCGTTGTCTTTCTTGGGCGTACTGAATTATATATTGCAGGCTCCGATACGACCGCCTCCGCTCTGACATCTCTCTTCTACTACCTCGCTCAAAATCCCAACCAAGTGCAAAAGCTCCGCCACGAGCTTCAGGCTTCTGCAGTCGGCGACTGGTCTGATAAGGAAATCAGACATTGTGACCATCTCAATGCATCAATCACTGAGGCGCTGCGTCTCTCTCTCCTAGGTCCGACCGGCCTATACCGCGCCACTCCTCCTGAAGGCATGCAAGTGGGCGAAGTCTTCTTACCAGGAAATGTAGAGTACAACATCTCGCAGTACATTCTTGCCCGAGGTCAGTTGTTCTCTCTTGTATTTATACATCAACCACTAGCTTGGTACTGACACATAATCACAGACGAGGCTGTCTACACCCAAGCCGAACAATTCATCCCAGAGCGGTGGTACAGTAAGCCGGAACTCATCAAGCATAAAAATCCCTTCGCGCCGTTCGCTATGGGATCTTTCGGATGCATTGGCAAGAATCTGGCCATGATGGAGATGCGGACGCTCACTGCTAGTATTTTGTTGAAGTACGATGTCAGCTTGGCTCCGGGAGAGGATGGACATAGGTATTTGGAGGAGTCGAAGGAGCACTTCACGATGGATCTCGCGCCTTTGGATCTGGTGTTCACTCCTGTTAAATCTTAATATATGTGTACGAAGATGTGCGTCAAAAGTTAACGTGAGAGTCCGTACTACATGGGGGTATGCAGATTTCACTATCGAGAAATGCCAATTGAAGCGGCAAAGTTGGGCAAGCAACGAAAGAGTGGATTGATTATACACTTTCTGGTTTCGCCATCTGTAGAACAGCTCCAATTCTCTTGCCGCTACCAATCCATACGGACGCGGTGGCAGCTGGTCTTCACACCTTCATCGCTTTTTCCTGCAATCAACAACACAGACATCTAACATCTCTATCCTGAGCACTTGCCATTATCCGAGAAGAACGTCTAATCCAAATCAATGGACTTCCGCTCTAAAGGGACTCTGAACTGTAACTCAAAACACATCTGACATCTCTACTCTAAGCACTTGCCATTATCCGAGAAGAGTTTCTGATCCAAATGAGTGGACTTCCGCTCTGAAGGGACTCTGAACTGTAACTCAAAACACATCTGACATCTCCATTCTGAGCACTTGCCATCATCCGAGAAGAGCTTCTAATCCAAATGAATGGACTTCCGCTCTAAAAGGACTCTGGGCTGTGACTCGGTCTGGTGCTGCCAGAGATGTCTTCGCCGCCTGATCGCCTCGCTGCTACTCCCATACGGCCGCTGTTCTTCATCGCAGTTCCAGGTTGTTCTTCTGGCGTGATATTCGCACTTGCAGATCATCAGGGCGTGGAAGGTCGAAATTTCGGATGGGCTTTCCAGCACGCAAAGCACACCTCTTCAGCCCTCGCTTTCTTCTTCTGGGACCTATTGGAGTTCTCGCTGACTCCTCCGTACAGCCAGACGTGGCCTTTGACGTCCGCCGGAGATGGAACCACACCTGTCGCATCGTACATGGCGGGATTGCCCATGCACTGCGGGCCGTTGCTGCACGGATAAGTAGCAGTGATATTGCCATTGGCATCGGTATCGTGCTTCTTCCAGTAGCACACACCGTTGTCTAGGGTACCAGCACTGGCTTGAGGAGGTGCCGCGGTGGAAGCAGGGCTTGTCACTGGTGTGTGGGCTGCGGTCGAAGCTGTGTCCGGAGGCGTCTGTTCACCTTCAGAACCCACCAGAGTGGCTCGCTTATCCTGTAGCCGTCTGATCTTGTTTCCTCCAAGCTTGACGCGAGCTGCAATGGTATCTTTCTTGGCCCGTTTAACGCCTTCGCGATCCGTCTGATAGAACTCCAATTTGTTGCCCACATAATTCTTTCCGTTGCATTTAACGACCGCCTCCTTAGCATGTCGTTTACAGCCAAATATGATCTCAGCGGTCACGAGAGGCTCGGTCGCTAATATCTTGCAACTCAACACCCTCCACCCATGTCTCCTCATGTTCCATTCGATTTTCTCCTCCGTATCGTCGCTCGCAAAGTTCTTTGCGATAACAATGGACGGTTGATCTTCGTCTTGCTCTGACTCGATTTCGTCAATCATGTCGTTCTGTGCATTCTGTTTCTTCTTGCCCTTATCACGCTTGCCCTGGCCATTATCGCCCTGCGTTGCGGGATCTCGGTGTACCTCCGCACCGTTTGCCTCTGCAATAGAACGAGCCTGGCGTCGAGCGATTTGCTGTCGCTTCTGTTCCACTTCCTCTGGTTCCACCCACTGCGCCGACAATTTGTGTTTGCCCTCGGGCGCATTATCAGTTGCAGACAATGCATCGAATGCGCTCGAAAAATCGCCAAAAGTGACGAATGCGGTGACTGTCGGTTCCGTGGACAGGATTTCGCATCTCAGAAGCCCGTCAATCTTACCACTGGTCACGATTGTAATGCGGTCTTCGGTGGTACCACGAGGGAAGTTCTCGACCATCAACACATACGTCCTGTCGACGCTGTCATCCTTCGCAGACATCTGAACGTCCGCATTCACGTTCACGGACCCCGAAGTGCTATGAGTGGGTGGATTGGGTGCATTGAGGGGCGTGACATCGTTCGATGGTGAGTGTCGAGAATTTTCTGATCGCACAAGATCTGGAATAGGTGGTCCCGAAGCTGTCTTGAAATCCTGATTGGGTGTGCTTGACGTTCCCAGGTTCAAATCGACCGGACGCTGGCCAATGGAAGTGGTTCTAGGGATAGATACGCCAGGTAATGACGCTGGTTGTGATGGCCCAGCACTGGATGCAATCGATTCGTTCATACCGTTCTCGGCATAAGACTCGTGCTCCTTGACATTGAGGCCACCATCACCCAGTCGGCCATGGTCACTCTTTTGCTGGTCGCCACTCATCTCTGTTTTGAACCGATTATGTGGTGCCTTTGCGGCCTTGTACGGCTTGAAGAAGATCGATGTCTTAGCGGGGGCGCGTCGAACAGTTCCTGCAGCTGGCTTATGGACGTTTGAGTTAGGTAGAGTTGCCGTAGTGGTGCTCAAGTCCTGCACTTGGGTGCTCGTAGATGGGTCGCTCTTGTTGACCGTTTCAGACTTGTTATCGGCAATCTCCAAGCTCGTTGCGGGAGCAGCAACGACAAGCTGATCGGACGGATTCCCACTGTCCTCGGTGTCGGTATCCATCGCGAAGGCCCGCTCGAGGTCGCCTACAGGATCTTCATCGTCATCATCGCCAACGTGTTGTTGGGCGTCGTGAACATCAAGGTCGTGCATTTGGATGTCCCCAACTTCATCCTCGAGCTCAGGGTTGCTCGCGTGAAGCTTTTCATTGCCGCTCAAGGCCTCACGACTGTCGAATGAGATGCCTTCCATAGATTGCTCCTGGGAATCTGGCTGATTGGCAAACGTATCATTCGTGTCCATGGCAGAGAAATTGTCCTCATCCTCGAGCTCAGGATTGTTGGCGTGAAGTTTGTCGTTACCGCCCAGGACCTCACTGCTCTCGAATGAGATGTCTTCCATCTGAGTTGCAACGTCATCGTGTACAGCGTCTCCGAGTTCGCCGGCATCGTTATCGCCGCTAGAATGAGCATCACGAGCATCTGCATCATCTCCAGGGCGAGATATTGTCGCTGGCACCGCAGCCTTCTGTTCCAATGTCTGGAAGTTTGGCGCTTGGCCATCGTTATGGTCGTCGTCATCTTCGTCCTTGTCACGAGGCTCGCGATCACCGGCGTCCTTACTATCTTTGCTGTCTTCCTCATCTTTCTGCTCAACAAGTTCGCCCTTCTCAAGCAAGAAGGCTGCGTCCTGCTCAGACAAGTTGAACTTCTTGACAAGGATGTGTGCCACCTTTTTGCGAACGACATCATACTTTTTACGCTGCATCACGGCAAGCTTGTCATCGTATTTCAAATCGCCGTGTTCCAGAAGGTCATGAGCAGCGGATCCAGAAATGTCGAAGTTCTCCATCAGAATCTTCTTAACCTTCTGCATGATCGAAGCTTTGGTTGCATTTTGAGAAGTCAATTGCTTCAGCATTTGCTTCTCTTGGGCCAACTCCTCACTCTTGCCAGACAATTGCGAAGATATGTCGCTTTTGGTCGCAGAAAGTGTCTGGACTTCGCTAGAAAGCTTTTCGTTGTCATGCTGGAGCTTCTCGTTCTTCCGGGACTCTTCCTCAATCCTTGCGTCCAAGGTCTTGTGCTTTTTCTCGTGATTCAAAATCTTCTGATATTGTGCGGCCTCTTCCCTCGAGAGTTTGTTGTGATCAGCCTTGAGCTGTTGATACTGGCGAGGCAGGTCGGCATGCTTTGTGACCTCTTTGTAGAAGACCTTGCTCTTTCGCTGAAGGGACTTCTTCGCCTTTGATAGCTCTCTAGCTGTTCGACCGTGCGAGCTCTGTGTCGTAGCGCTCAAAGCCATCGCCTCCTGCAGTGCGATTAGAGTCTTGCTCTTCTCGTTGAGCTGCGCGGTAGTTTGAGAGGCTTCTCTAGCCTTGCGACGCAGGGCCTGGTTTTTCGCGATGTTCTTCCTGGCGAGATTCGCGACCTTTTGAGAATGATTTGAGCTCATAGCCGACATCTCCTCGTCCTTGAAGATCAACGCCCGCGACATTTCATCGAGGGTATCCTTGATACGCGCCACTTCCCCTTCGAGATCTTGACATTCTTTCGTCTGTGCATCGAGCTTGCTGCTGAGATCCTCCTTCCTGTCCAGCGCATTCGTCGTTTCTCGGAGGGATGTCTCAAGCTCAATTATTTTGGCCTCCAGACCATGGTATTTGGTCGTCTGCTCATCATACTTGAGCTGAAGTGCTTTGCTGTCTTTCACAGCCTTATCGGTCCTCGGGCGCTGCATGCGCAGTTCTAGAGAAGTGCACTCGCTGAGCTCCTTCGCAATCTTGAGCTGCCTATCAGAGGCCTTGAGAGCGGTCTCCATCGCCTTGTTATCCTCCTTGAGCTTCTTGAATCTCTCGGAATCAGAGGTTTTCTCAGTCGCTTGTACAGGTGGCTTAATCATGCTGACAGGCTCCTCCGCAGTCATAGTCCCGGCATTGACCATCTGAATCTCTGGCGTTCGTGGGTCGGGCCCCCTCACATGTTCCTCCGCGTTTCTCACCTGGACAATTCGAAAAGTTGTTCGATGACGCCAGATAGTGCCGGCGAACGCGATCGCAAAGAGGAACAGCTGATACTGGAGCGAGGTAGTCTGCGACACAAACCCAGCAGCCGGCAGGAGATCGGAGGCAATGTTGGCCATCATGACCACGCTGTGGTACACTCGACAGAAATCCGCCTGGACAGACCCAGTTGGTGCGGAGAGCTCCAAGACAAGGAGCGCGACTTGCATGAGCGAGAAGAGGCCGCCCGCCTTGGGAGCTTCGAATGTATCGGCGTTAGCCCTACGGCCGGCGCTCGAATTTGGTTTCAGTGCCTGAGCACTCATGGCCTCGACGCCATTAGCGCTGTGTGGAAGCGCTGGCGGAGGCACGAGGAGTGGTGCAGGTGTGAGGAAGTCTTCCATAAGCACCTGTGGCGGTGCGTCGAGGGTCAGCGGCGTGTTGGTGAGCCTGCTGAACATGGCAGCGAACGCTGCCACGCGCGCAGGTCGCGCCAGAAAGGCGCCCATGGTGTTGATGGCAGTCGAGGTGTCAGTGTGTCGCGGTGATGTGTGGGAGGATGTGTTTGTGTCCTTTTGGAAAAGGGTTCGCTGTGGGATGGTTGTTCGCGCAGCGATGTCGAAATTTGGAGTTGTTTCCAGGCAGACCACGCGGTTGCCATCGCGCTAGTGACGCGCGGCAGGGCGGATGTGCCGAGAAGTGGGGCTTCAGAAGGAAGCGTGAGTGAATGAAGAAGCTCAGCCAAGCTCACGGCTGCCCTCACGACAGCGCTAGCTTCAACAACTAGCAGCACTCCATTCACATTGAGCAACCTCCTCCGCGCTTGAATCGATGTATTCGTGGGCTGAACGTCGTTGTTGTTGAACGTTTGCTGCCTTGTCCATGGCTACGTGAGCTAGGCTGCTTAGGAGCAGCTTTGTATGCTGTTCTATACGTTGTTAGCCTAGAGTTTGTCATTATAAGCTGGCCTCGCGATCAGTATGCTATACGAAATTGTCATAGATATGCGCAATAAACAGCAGGCGTCGCCTGTCATTAAATGTGATGTGTCTCCTGCTTACCAACATGGCGCCAGGCGCTTGTCTTAGACGCCATGTATTTTGCTCTTTCATACAGACATCACCGGTTTAGCTGCACAGGCTTTCCATACAAACCTACATCCGAGACTTTCAGGCCAAGGTCGCCCATTCAGCAGCAAGCACTGCACAGACTTGAAAACCGGTGGAATTGTGCTCCTGCACAGCGAGGCTCGTGGGCTCCTCACGTACGTCCGATGTTCCCGCGATCTATTCTCGGGCATTTTGAGATGCTTTCTTACGACCTCCTCTTCCGGCCATCCTCGTTTCTGTGACCTCTTTATCCGTTGTCTTCTCTTCGCGCTCGTGCGCTTGGCTAGGCTCCCTACTACGAGTTGAGTATTGAGAATCGCAGAACATTGCTGTCAGAATTTCGACCGAATCTACGAGCAAGATTGGTCGTTGTATTACGATGTTCTGTAGCCATTGCTGGTGATGAAGCAAGGAGCGTGAAAGGTGAGGTCCACTAACAACTTTCCTCCGTTTTCGGCTGGTGCTGTCCCAAAGTGGCAATGCCGACGAATTCAATGATGGTTCAAAAAAGGCATGATAGGAGCAGGGAAAGGCTTCGTTTCTGGACGGAAATGTGCATATGGCCAGACTTAGTTCATACATTTGGTATAACATAATGTACTACCTCCCTCCACTTGCCCAGAATGCATCCAAATGTTCTTGCCTCACTTCAAACGCCCAATGATGGCAAGTCTGATGCATTACAGGACTGACCTCCGGCGCATCTTCATCGCCCCCGTCATCAAACACTTCCCTGACTCCCAGCTGCATGTACTTCTTGAGAAGCATTCTCCTCCATCGTCCAGCCTCGCCAACACATTTCTTCCATCTGCTGACCTGCCTAGCATCGTCGTCGCACCTCCGACCACGAAAGAAGCGCGTGTACCATTGAAACCAGCCTCGAACATCATGCTCATGCGAGATCCATCCAGCAGCTTCCCATTGCTCAATGGACTGGCCGCAGGCGACTTTGAATTTATTGACATCCGCGTCGTATGAGGGACTTGTTAGGAATGTCCCAACATTCAGACCAGAAATCCAGTCTTCTGGCAACTCTTGCCAGTCATTCTCGACAACTATTTTAAGCTTGCGTGATCGAAGTGGGCGATAATAAGAGCCGCCAAAGCAGCCTTGTCGGAGCATTTCTTCTGGTGATTTATTTGGTGTGAAGTCAGGAAAGTCCTCGAAATGGAAGACCTGAAATTCGTCTCTCGCTGGCGAAGAAGCCTCGGCCTTCCAATTCGTCCATCCTGCTTTGATCTCGTTGATATCCTTGGTGGGCACAAGAGGTTCGTCGTTGGTGATTGAACCTAGGTCTGCGTCTCGATTTTTCTTTGCTTTCTTTGGACCCGATCTCGGCAGTCTTATTGGCTTCGATGCTTCTTCATCTTTGTAGCTTGGTTTCACAGGTGCTGCTGCGATGCGAGCTGAAGTCCTTGATGGTGCCGTCCTTTCCTGAGTGATCTTTCGCTTCTTGGCCGGAGCTGTGCCATCTGAATTTCGTGGTTGCTTTGTAAAGACAGGTTTGATGTCGAGATCGGCAAGCAATTTCTGGTTCCGCTTGATCTTCTCGAGCCGACGCGTCTCGTAGTCATTCATTGTCAAAAGACGTCGGTGTAGCGAACGTCGAAGCTCTTGTCACACAATCGAGAAGACGCGAACCGCGTCCACCAGTGACGTCATGCGCCAAGAGATCGCGAGAGATCAAGATCGGCGAGCAGATGAGATCCTCTTCTGTCGCCTATGGTATTGTTCTACTTCGATATCCCATTTTTAAGCCCACACCAATATGTAGCAGGCCAGCCTCTACGCCTACGCAATGACTCCGTTTGCATCTTTCTCCTTCACCTCTTCCCTTTCCTTTGAATTCTTGCTCACTCGTCCAGCGTGCACATCTTCGAGCACGCTCTGAAGCTCCTTGAGGAAGCGTGCTACCTCGGTCTCTGTTCCAACGGTGATACGAAGACATCCCAGACAGCCAAGTTCCTTGCCTCTGAAACGAACGACGACTCCTCTTCGTTCTGCAAGCCTCTCGTACACCTGCAATGCAACCTCGTTGCTCGCCTTTCCCTGCGCATCACACATCTCCACCAGCAAGAAATTGCTAGCCGTTCCTCCTCGAAACCGTCCTACTCCAGTGATCTTCGGCATCTCGGCAAGCAAGCGGTCTCTTTGCTCTAATATCTGCTCCCGGTGCTTATACATCACCTGCAGGTTTTCCGCTTCGAGTGCTTGAATTGCGAGTTGTGATGTTGGGTTGGAGATGTTGTATGGGGCCTTCAGACTGTTCAGCAGCCTGGCGACTTCTGGACTGGTGAAAGCAGCTCCCAGCCTGATGCCTGCCAGACCAAAGGCCTTGGACAATGTCTGCATTACAACCAGGTTTGGCCACTCTGCTACCCACTCAGCCAACGATGAGCCTTCAGGTGCGAAGTCGATGTATGCTTCGTCAAGTACGACCAGTCCATTCCAGGTGGAATGCTCCAGAACCTTGCGAACCGCATCTTTACTGACCAGACTTCCGGTCGGATTACCAGGACTGCATAGATACACCATTTTGATCGAGGCATCTTTTGACAAGGCTTCGTTGATCTTCTCTGGCTGTGCTGCAAAGTCATGGTCGGCATCTAACGGCACCTTAACGATATCTACATCGTTTACACAAGCCGACACAGCATACATGCCATATGTAGGAGGGCAGGTGAGGATCTTGTCCTGGCCAGGCCTGCAGAAGGCTCGGAGAAGTGCATCGATAGCTTCATCACTACCGACACCTACGAACAGGTTGTCAGGAGTCAAGTTCTTCTGTGTATGGACATGAGTGTTGCGCAAGTTGATCAACTTTTGCTTCAGTTCGTGCTGGTGTCTGGAATGGATCAGCAAAGGTGTTTTGGTGAGTCACTGACTTGAACGAATTGATACATACGGATCAGGGTAGCGATTCAAACCAAGGAGGTCAATCTGAATATTGGAGGCACTGCCATTTGCCAGCTTTCCATCGTTCGTCAAAGCAAGTCCAGGCCCGTATGCATTTTCATTGGCATCGAGCAAGATGTTCGTGCCGTCATCCTTGTAGTCACTGAGAGAAATGCGAGGTTAGTCATTGCCACTTCCTATTCCGCACGGACAGGTCCGGCCTTACTCTCGTGCACATCTGTACGGCTCAAGCTTGAGGATATTCGGCCTCGCGCAGGTGTTGATGTCGAATGGCATGGTTGGATGTCAAAATTTGTGGATGTATCGACGTACTCGGCTGATCGCTAGAGGCAAACCCGGAATCGGAGTCACAGTCAGCAGGCCAGACTCGCCAGATCACCAGACCCCTGCAAGTGCGTCGGTCCGTTCATACCGAGGGCTTTTCGCATGTGATTGCGCCCGTTATCATTTGGCAAAGTGGCCCCAAGCAAATTTTAGGTGAGCCATGTGGTGTGCTTCAGCTTTGGGTAGCTCGTGGACTTCCATCAAGAACGCCTGAAGGATTCCAATAGGCGTCGCTGCCACTTTGTTATCACGAAGACGCCGATTTACTGATTACGGGCGAAGCCACTTGATCATCCCCGACTATGTCATCGCGATCACGTCAAACCTGATTTTATTATCTACATCGATCTGGTCCCCTACGACGTTCGTGCGACCACGCAGACGCAGACGGAGAAGCGATAAAGGGAACACTTTTGACCGCCGTTCAACCACACCGCTTAGTGTTTCTTCCTCCAGCTGCACGCTATCACGCACAGCGCAGTGGATTACTTACGTAATACTGCATTGCCGGCGGTTGAATTGGCTTCGTTAATTGCCTATGTTCTATCTCCTCTATAGTCTAAAATACAGTGTAGAAAATTCTTTAAGCTAAGAAGTTACGTACCTATTATGTAACTAAGCTGACGCGTTACACACCCCCTTAGCTTGTACAAAAGGGTTTTAGGCAAGGTAGTTAATGCTTCTTTATATATAAACAAAAGAAAATTAATCCTTTCAACTCCTTATATAGTACTTTATTAAAACACTAAAAAAATGGTTTAAATCTACACTATATATAAGAGAGTCTTATTTTATACTCCGATTACCCTAGAAGGATATTGTTACATAATCCGGACTATATGTGCACCTTTATATATAGTCCCTATTACTAGGAACTGTTGTCTTCCTACGTAGTCTAAGTATAGACCGACACTATTAAGCCTTATTTAAGTACTCGTATCGTATAGTAAAGTTAGTTTAGCTAAACTAAGCCTATTATATTATTACTATCGGTTATTATATTAATCGCATAGGTAGCGTCTATTTAATTAGATAAAGGATTAAGTAAGATGTGCATTAGTTAAATAGATTTAATAAATTAGGATAGGTAACTTAACTAAGGACGCTACCCTTAGTTAAGACTACTATACTATTATTACTAGCACTAATACAATCGCCGTAGACTTGTTATTAGTTAGTAGAAGTAACGTTCGAAGTAATAATATAGGCGATAGTAACGTACCCTATAAAGTAAGGTTTCCTATACTATTTGTTTAGTCTATATTAGAAGGTAAGGTTAAATCCTTTGTTCTAATTAGTCGTCGTTATCGTATTAGACACTTTTGCTAGCGCCAATCGATAAAGGTATACTTAATCGACTTAGTTACAATTAATAGGGGGGAGGGGCGCCTACTACCTATTATATAGAGTTGTCTTCGTATTACTAAAGAGGAAGAGGTTATTAGAGGAAGAGTTGCTTCCTTATCTACCCCTATAACTGTATATCTTAGTTAGTTGTTAGGTTAGGTAGTCTAGTTAGTCTTAGCTGTTTAATAAACCTCTTCTAGTTCTAAGGGCTATAGAGCTTAGTTATTCTATCGGCTAGCATGTCCTATATAGCTAGGTATTTGCATTGAATCCTTCTAGCCTTATGTTCTTGCCTTAGCTAGCACTAGTGAATATCTATATAGCGGAGCTTCGTGTCTAGTTTGCTAGCATTAGCCTTAATTGCGAGCGAAGCTCGCCTTACACTAACAAGGGTACTATAGTGGCTGATTGCGCCGAGTTGTTACTACGTGATTCCCCGGATTCTGAAAGCTGAAGCTCTAATTGGCTGAATTCTACAAGAACTGCTAGGACGGTACGGTAGAACTGAGCCTCCGGAAAATTACGTGCCTAATGCCAACTATAACAAAACCTGCAACGACTACGACTAGCGACCTGCAACGACTACGACTAGCGACCTGTAACGACTAGCGACCTATAACGACTAGCGACCTGCAACGACTAGCGACCTATAACGACTAGCGACCTGTAACGACTAGCGACTAGCGACCTGCAACGACTACGACTAGCGACCTGCAACGACTACGACTAGCGACCTGCAACGACCACGACTAGCGACCTGCAACGACTAGCGACCTACAACGACTAGCGACCTGCAACGACTAGCGACCTGCAACGACTAGCGACCTATAAGGGTATATAAGGCGGAAGCTTCGCTCGCACTTTGTAGGCACGCGGAGCCGCCTATAAGCACATATTAATGCGGATAGTCTGTATATTGTCGCAGTATAGTATAGGAATGCTGTCTAAGGTAAGGCTAATATTGTTAAAGAAACGCTTCTACTAGATCAATTCTAAGCCTGCATATAAGGCAGCTAGTAGTTTAGCTTTAGTCGTAGATTTAGTAATAGTTAACTGTCGTACTGCCTTCTAATTAACTAGTCTATTAAATAGGCTAAATATCTATCTCTCTAACGACTGTCTCGTCCCCTTGTAGTTACTATAGGATGCGTTAGAAGCTCCGTAGAATTTATAAAGCTGTTAGCTTAAATGAGCAGTAATTGTTAGTCCGTTTGCGTTATACTCTAAGCATAGGTCCTTCGTATTTAGTAGGTACCTAATATACTAGTCTGCTGCTGCTATATCTTCTGTCCGCGGGTTCTATAGAGCCTTAGACAATAAGGACACTGCCTTAGCTATGTCTAGCCTAGTTTAAACTGCTGTAAAGTTAAGTGACCCTATACGGCTTTAGTAGGCTAGGATCGCTAATAGATTAATTCGAGTAGAGTTATCTTCACTAGAAGTTAGTTTCTTATATAGCTCGTATCTAGTTAGTAGGGGTGCTTTAGCTCTTCGACTAGCTATTACGATACTGTATCTTTAAGCTATCTTCTCGGTATATGCCTTCTAAGACAGCTATAGTTTCCTGTTCTGCCTATCGCGTATAATTTCAATACTAAGGAACTATAAGAGCTTTCCTAGGTTACTAATTTCATATTCCTTTATTAACCTCTACTTAAGGTCTATTGCCTTTTATATATGCTAGCGGTAATATAATAGTACAATGTCGTCTATATAGAAGAAGATAAATACCTGTTTGTCTAGGTCGGTATATAGGCAGTCTACATGTTAGGACTAAAGAGGTTACACGTAATTAGCATGTAACTAGACTCGAGTAAAGCTAGGGTCTTAATGCCTTAGGCAGGGCTTAGCGCTTAGCGTTAGGCTAACTAGCCTACCTTCCTCCCTCTCCTTTTAGATCTCTATCGAATACTATACTAATTCACTACTACCCTATCTACCTGCTAACATAACCCTTCTTATATAGTATTCGATCTACCCTTTAAGGGCAGTAGCTAGATAGTTCTTATTTTAAGCTTTTAGCGGTATAGCTACAAATAAGACTAATCTAACTATATTGCGCCTGAAGAACGGGACCTATACGTACTATTCTATCGAAACAACCGTACCAATTATCAAGTAAGGCCTTCTATACGGCCTATTATACTAAGTTAAGTATACTAGACCGATATCTACTAACTCCGCTATATCCGCATCTTAGGGGCTAATAATACATTATTAGTACTATGTTACGGTTACTCGCGACAGATCGTTAGGTGACTTCTTATTACGTGTAAGCCGAGGCTTCTTTAGAGAGGCTAATACAAGCGGGAGGTAGAGACAGAATAATTGGTATAAAGGTAATTCCAATCAGTAAGTAGGTAATATAAGTTGAACGCCTCGAGCTATAAGGGCATTCCGGCGTTCCTAAATACAAAGGAGACATCTTGTCTGTAGTCGTAAGCGACGTAAGCGACGCTATCGCTCTCGACCGCTCCTATCGCTCCTAGTAAGATAGAGCGACAGCTTAGCCTACTAGTCTTAGCGTCGCTCTAAGATTATATAAGGACTCTAACTAATCAGATCCGTAATACTATCCCCCTCCTTAAGCGGGATAGTCCCTTATTCCGGAACTTTCTAATTCCAACTTCTTTACTATACTAAAGTTATTAAAGGACTTGTCTTCTCGTTAGCGTAAGGAAAATATCGCAAATAATATCCTTACCGACTGCCTCGAAATGCCGATCCGCTACTTTTATTACGAATAGGCCGATAAATCCTACAAAGTCGATCTCCGTTCCGGCCGCTACTCCGAGTGCGCCCTATACGGCTAGTCCTATAATATATAAGTTACTCGTATAGAGTATAAAAAAATCCGGAAGGCGCGCCTAAAGATAGCTAAAGATCTCGAAGCGGCCGAAGAGGAGGAAGACCTCCTTACGCGGAAGCTTTTCGAGCATCGCGTAAAGGTCCGTCGCTTACGTAAGTCGCTGCGTATAAAGGAAGATCGGGAGGTACAAGCTCTTAAGGCAGAGGAAGCCTCTATTCAATAGGCGGAGGAGCTCGAAAGAGAGCTAGGCTCTTTGCCTATAGAGCCGATAATATTCTCGTTGCCTGCTAACGAGCCGTTTCCCCTAGATAGCCGATTATAGATATCGCCTTATAACTAGAGTCGTCTAGATAGGACGTCCTAGCCTACCTCTGAAATTCCTAGTAGGAGTGCCGAGAGTCTAGTGTCCTAAAGGTATATATTTTTAATGTTTCCTATCTATTTCATCTTCTAGCTAGTTAGTCTAGTAGTATAATTCTTAGCTACAAAAGACATGGTTACTAGGTACGCTATTAGAGTCCCCGCTCCTCGAGCTACACTGCCCTAGGTCGTTAAGAACTCTAAGGCGCTATAATCGATAGGGTCTAAGAGGTCGTAGGTTCAATTCCTATACTAGTTATTTCTTTTTTGTTCGGTTTCGAAATTTTTTGATTATCTACTAACAGTTCTATAGGTTTTCTTTTGGTTCCTAGGTGTTTTCTAAATGTAGGTATCCTTTCTATTTGATAAGGTATTTCTAACCTTGCTAATCTAGGATTTCCTTAACTTTAAACTCGTTTTCTTCCTTAGGTTAGAAGTGAAATGTTTCTTAATACGGTGTTTCGGCGTCTATAGGTTCTAGCATAGAGATATAGAATACTAGGTAGATTTTCGCGTCGTCCGGTAGTTTGAGTCGGTAATTAACTGGTCCTTTAGGCTTATCAATCAAAAATAGCCCGACTTTAACGTAGTCTAGTTTCTTAGTCGATCTCCGGGTTTTTAGATTCTTTGTTAGAAGGTAGACCTTATCCCCCTTCTTTAGCTAAGGTGCCATTTTTCGTTTAGCATTATATAGCCCCGTAATCTTTTCTTAAGACTCGGCAATTGCCCTTTGCAATTCCTTATACACCTGCTTTAAGTCTTCTAAAGCGACTATCGCTTTATCCGCGTATAGATACTGTAAATACTATTCCCCGAATAGCTACGGATGTTTCCTAAAATTAGCGAAGAATAGTGTCTCTTTCGTAGTCTTAGATTGTTAGTTATTTAGTGCAAGTTGTGCTATAGGCAATAGCGATGCCTAATTGTTTTATACGTAATTGACGTAGTACCGTAAGTATACCTCTAAGGCCTGATTCTTAACTTCCGTTTAGCCGTCTATCTGTAGATAGTATGCCGTTGATAGCTTATACTTAATTCTAAGCGTCGCTGTAAGCGTCTTCTAGTAGTTTGACGTAAAGAGCTTGTCTCTGTCCGTAATATAGGTCTTTAGAAATCCGTGGTATCGTACAAGTCTATCTAGTACGAGGTATCCGAGTTGCTCTGCCGTACTTGCTTCGTTAGTAGGAATGAAGTATGTATATTTCGTAAGCCTATCGACTATAACAAGTATTATATCGTAGCTATGTCCTGTAACCGGATCCTTAGACTTTGGTAGCTTCGTAATAAAGTTTATTGTAACTTCGTCCTATAGTTTATCTAGTGGCGTCCTAAATTGGATATGTCTATATCTAGCGTATCTATTAGCCTTGTTACGCTAGCATTGTGGACATTTCTTAATATATTCTAGGACTCGTTGTCGCATATATAGGAATCTGAAGCTTCGCTTAACTAGTTCTATTGTTTTTGAAACTCTAAGGTATCCATTTTCTAGTCCGTCGTAGTGTTGTCGTATATACTCCGTAACTCGTTCCTTAGGTACTTAGTATTTCCTATATTCGATTAGGAACTGTTCTTCTATATCCTAAAGAACTCGTATAATATAGTTGAATTCTTTTATATTAGTACTAAGGCTTCCGTCTTGGTTTGCTTTTAATATCTGCTACTATACTAGTTCGTAACCTTCTATATAGTCGCTACGGCGGCTTAGTGCGTCGGCTCGTCCGTTCTCGCGTCCTAGGGTATAGCGGATTTCGAACTTGTACTGCCCTAGTAGCTCCGACTAGCGGGCCTATCTTCGGGTTAGTACTTTAGTCGTAGTGAAGTAAGTTAGATTCTTATAATTAGAAAGAATCGTAAGACTTAGTGCTCCTTCCGCGTATACTCGCTAGTATTATAGTAATACAACTATTGCAAGTAGCTCCTTATTATAGATGTCGTAGTTCTGTTCCGCGGGTAATATCTTTCTCGAGTAATAGGCTACCGGGTGTCGTTTCCCGTTATGCTCCTATATAAGGTATGCTCCTATAGCCCTATCCGACGCGTCTGTTTCTATCTAGACCGCCTTACTCCTATCGAATAATCGTAGCGTTAGCGTAGAAACGCATTGCTTCTTTAGCTACCTAAACGCTTCGTCTTCCTTCGTGCTCTAGTTCTATTACTTGTCTTTCTTTATAAGCTCCGTAAGGGGTGCCGCTGTCTTAGAGTAGCCCTCGATGAATTTCCTATTATAGTTAGCTAATCCTAGGAATAATTGTACGTCTTTAACGTATATAGGCGTTAGCTATTCCTGTATTAACTTGG